TTCCCAACAGCAAAAACATGGAACCAACCCTGCTGCCCATTGAAAGCAGACTGGATAAAGAAAAGTGGTACATATACATGATGGAGTACTATACAGTCATAAAGAATGACAAATTATGGACTTTGCAGCAAATTGGAAGGATTTAGAGTCTATCATACTCAGTAATCTATCACAGAGATAAAGAACCACATATTCTCACTTATAAGTGGGTCCTGAACATTTATCACAATACTATAAGAAAGGAACTGACAGTGGTGGGATACTGCCAGGGAAAGGGGGGCACATGACATCACTAAAGGTACCTAACCCTAGACCAGAGGAAGTGTAACCCTGACTTGTAACTCATGTCTTTACAATTTTTTTTAAAAAACATTAAAAATAAATAAATAAACAATAGATGCTAACACAGATGTGGTGAAAAGGGAACACTTATACACTGTTGTTGAGAGTTCAAATTAGTACAACCTCAATGGAAATCAGTATGGATATTTCTCAAAGAACTAAAAGTAGATCTGTACCCAAAGGAACAGAAGTCAGTATACAAAAGAGACATCTGAACTCGGATGTTTATCACAGCACAATTCACAATAGCAAAGATGAGGAATCAATCTAAATGACCATCAACTGATCAGTGGGTAATGAAAATGTGACACACACACACACACACACACACACACACACACACACACACACATACACACACACACAAACCATATATAGACCATATACATATACATACCATATATAATATACCATGGAATATTATTCATCCATAAAAAAAGGATGAAATAATGTCTTCGGCAGCAACTTGGATGGAATTAGAGAACATCATCCCAAGTGAACAGAAAATCCAAACACCGCACATTCACACTTATAAGTGGGAGCTACCAAGGATCTGCAAAGGCATAGAGAATGGTATAGTGGACATTGGAGATTCAGAAGGGAGAGGGTGGGAGGAGTGCAGGGATGAAATATCACCTATTGGGTACAATGTGCACAAGTGGGGATGGTGGGTACACTTAAAGTCCAGACTTCTTTGCCACTATGCAATGCATTCATGTAACCAAAAACTATTTGCACCCGAAAGCTATTGAAATAAAAAGAAAAAAGAAAGAAAAGCTACAAGAGAAGAGACAAAGTGGAAGAAAGAGCTTGCTGCATATTTATCTATTATCTATCTACCCATGAAACAAATTACATTAAAAATTTATGCCCTTTGACTTTAAAATGACAACAGAGTAGAAAAATGGACAAAGACATAGAGTTAAATCCAAATGACCAATAAACATTTGAAAAGATCTTCCAAGCTCTTCAGTAACCTGGAAAGATCATATTAAGAAAAAAAATGACTTTTTTCTTATAAGATTGTCAGTAATGTTTTAAAAGACAGTCTACAAAATAATGTACTCATCAAAAGTGTCAAAGTCATAAAAGACAAGAAAAGAATAAGGAACTATCACAGACTGAGGCCGACTAAGGAGGCACAATTAAAGGCAGTCTGGGCTTCTGGAACAGAAAAGAACATTAAGAGGAGAAGGAAAAAATTGCAAATAAGTTTAGTTTAGTTTAGTAGTTAATGTTCATTTGATCATTGTACTATGGTTATTTAGATCATTAACAATAGAGGAAGTTTGGTAAAAATATGTGTAGAGTCATGCACCACACAATGACGTTTCAGCCCATGATGAACCTCATATATGGCAGTGGTCCCATAAGATTATAATACTGTACTTTTACTATACCTTTTCTATGTTTAAATAAAATCTATGTTTAGAGAGAATCTATGTTTAGATATTAAAATACTTACATTATGTTACAGTTGCCTACAGAATTCAATACAGCAACATACTTGCTTTACAGGTTTGTAGCCTAGGAACAATAGGCTATCCCATTTAGCCTAGGTGTGTAGCAGGCTACACCATCTAGGTTTGTGTGAGCACATTCTATGACGTTCATATAATGACAAAATTTCCTAAAGACACATTTCTCAGAATGTATCCCCATTGTTAAGCAACACATTACTGTACATGAAGTCTCTATACAAATTAATCATCCTTAATGCAAAAATCCAAAATATTTCAAAATCCAAAACTTTTTGAGCACCAACATGGTACCACAACGGGAAAATTCCACATCTGACCTCATGTGTGACAGGTCAAAACACAGGCACACAACATGTAATTTATTCAGTGACCCCAAGGGAAAAATAAAATTGCCTTTAGGCTGTGTATAAGGTGCACGTGGAACGTAAATGAATTTTGTTTAGACTTGGGTCCCCTCTCCAAGATATCTCACTATGTACATGCAAATATTCCAAAGTCCAAAAAAATCCAAGATCCAAAATACTTTGGCCCTAGAATTTTGGATAAGGACTTCTCAACTTATATATCATTTTAGTAAGTTTTCTCTGAGTCTGAAGTTATTTCATAATAAAAAGATTTTCTAAGTTGCCCGAAAATTACCAGTGAAAGGCAGTTAGGTGCAAATACAGAGTTGAATTGTTTCCATAGCTCAAGGAATGTAAACCTTTACAAAATATGGAAAATAATGGAAAGTATCCCAATTAGTTTTATAAAACTAATATGAACCTGATATTAAAATACCACCTCAAGGCAAGAAAACTACACTCAAATCTCACTCATTAATATAGATTCAAAATCCTAAATAAATGTTTAAAACTTAAATTCAGCAATATATCTTTAAAAAATCATCATGACAAAGTATGCTTAATTCCAAGAATGCTATGATTGCTCAATATTTTAAAATATATCAAAAGGTCAAATGCATTTGATAAAACGTAACATTTGTTTCTGATTTTTAAAATCACACTTTATAAAACAGTAATAAAGCATACTTCAACATCTACTTTAAGACAAAAAGTCAAAAATTAAAGTATCACCACTGTTATATAATATTATTCTGGATAATAATATTATTCTGGAAGGTCTTGCCAATTCAATAAGAAATAAGATGTTCAACTATCAAAATAGAGGGAAAGCTGTCATTGTTATTTGAAAATGGTATACAAACTATTAGAGCAGTAGATTTACAGTGTGGAATTCTTATAAAACTAATAAACAAGAACTTATATTTTTTCTACATAACTACAAAATGTAACAGAAAAAGATCATGATCATAATAACAACAAAAAACATAACACACCTCAGAATAAACTCAACAAGAATGGTGCAGGCTGTAAATCAAGAAAATTGCAAAATTTTGTTTATAAACACAAAAATAAACCCAATTAAATAAAATAACATTGAAGTTAGATTATGCAGGTTTGACAAAAATACAGGAAGACAAACTCATACATTTTTGGGAAAATGAAGATTGATAAACCTCTTGATAGGGCAACTTGGCAAAATCTCTCAAAACTTGAATGCATGTCATCTTTAGCCAGCAATTCTACTTCTAGAAATTTATTTTACAGATAATATATATGTTTAACACATGAGTGTATACGTGTGTGCGCAAACAAGGCTACTCGATGAGCATTGCTCTTAATAGCAAAAAGCTGGGTACATCATGAACATTGAAAAATAAGAGACTGATTAAAGATGATATAACAACATTATAAAAGATTATGTAGACATACTGTAAATAGTATGATCATCTTATTGAATCATATTCTTGTAAAATATATTGATTAAACAGGATATACATACTTAAAAATTATCAAGTACTTTTATCTGGATGGCAGAAGCATGGTAATTTGTTTTCTGCCCTGTGCTTTTCCCTGTTTTCCATATTATCTACGATACTCATGTATTGTCATTAACAGGAAGAAGTAATGCCAGCTTCATCCATGGATGAAAGGAATTCTAGTACCTATCATTTGTATTAGGTACCAGAAGCACAGTGCACATGAACGAACATTATAAATGTACTTGTCCATTTATAATGTGCATCCACAAGCACTACCTCTAAATTCTGTATTTGCAGGTGCCAACTTGAAAATCTCAGAATCGGTATATTTCATTTTCACTAGTTTCTACCACTATTTCAATAAACTCAATACTGCCACCCATAATCACCACTCCACTTGTGTAAAGGAGAAGAAAAAGACTATCATGGCCAAAAGAAGAGCAAAACAGGTTGTTTACCTTGCAAGCCTCAAATCTCTGATTTTATCCACTACAGGAAGCGGTGGTTACTTTTGTTTCATCAACTGTTCTTTATCCCCTTGAGAAGTGTGTTTGATTATCTGTATATACACAATGATCTACTGCTTCAGTAAGCCAGGATATTAGGGCAGGAAACCGGGGCGTATGTTTTAAGGTTTAGATCCTGTCCAACTATATCTCGTCAGCAAGAACTGGGAAGTGGAGCTCAGTATAAACATGCCGTTTGTGCTATGTGCACTTACAGTCCCCCCTATAACTGCTCAGCCTTGAGCAGCCAGTGTGCGGTGCTTGAGAACATGTTCTGTAGCCTTATGGCGTCTACTTCAGAGACAGCCCTATCCACATTTGGGAGAAATTGTTTTGTTCCTGTGATCTTAATAAGCTCCTTCAACACCCTCTATCACAGGAACCCTGGGAACTTACCCAGATCCATTAAAAAGAATTAAATACTTTCAAACCTGTATGTTGGTGGTTCCTGAACTTCTATATAGGGAATGCTTAAGGCATAGAAATCTGAAAGGAAGCAGGGCTGAGAGCAGTGGCTTTCAAATGTTTTTACCTTATTTGCAGTCAGTTATTTTACTTAACACTGTGACCCATTACAAACATATGTGTAACCTGCATAAATATAAACACAAACATACAATTATATAATTACTTACAATTATACATATGGTGTCTTTTTGCACCGAGTTATTTGTCAGAGAAGAAAAAAACTCGAGAAAAGAGAAGTTATGGGAGTGTTCAGAATCACAAATTTCCAAAACCATATTTACAGAAATCACATCCATGGACATAATTCAAATTTTTTTTAATCTTCCTCACATGCCCTTTTTGACATCCTGGCAGAGGGGAAAGAGGAAGCAGAGTTACCGTAGGAAGAACTGTTGAAGAGCTCGATGTTGAAGAAGGCGTAGTCCCCGCTGGTCATGCCGTGCCTGTGTGCTGCCAGCATGATGCTCCGGATGGTGTCACTGCTCGCACACATGATCACCACTGCGGGGGAAACAGACAACACGCGTGAGACACCCCTTCACAGAGCATGGTGGGCAGCTGACAGCAGTGAGGATGTCTGACAGGGAATGAGTAATTAAATAGCCCCAAGAATTCCCTCTGTTAATTACAGAGGGAATGCATAGTAACTTTATCATGAAGAAACCTAGCAGACACCACCATAACCAAGAGATGGACACCAACAACACCATCGAAACACAGACTCATGAGCCTCCTGCTGTAACACTCCGAGGACCAGAAACATCCAAATAGACGACAAGCATCTAATCAGAAGGAGGTGGGCACACACCCAACTTGGAGACAATCAGCAGAATAATTGGCCCATGCTCTTTAAACTGGTCAATTTCATGAATAACAAAGATAAGCTGAGGACATATCCTAGATTGAAAGAGACTTAAATGAACAGAAAACTGAATGCAATGTGTGATGCCGGTTTGGATTCTGGATCTTAAAAGAATAAATAAGGTTTTACTGTAAGGGGCATTTTGAAGACAACTGATGAAATTTGAGTGAGGTTCGTATCCTAGATAATAAAATTGTGATTGCATTAAAGTCCTTGCTTTTCATGATTATGCTGTGATTATGTAAATGAACATCCTTGTTCTTAGGAAAAACACACTTAAATGTTAGTGGCAAAGAAGCATGACTCTACTTACTCTCAAATGGTTTATATAAAGTATTATCTATGTGTGTATTTACATGTACAAATATATCAATAGATAGATAGATAATGATAGATAGATAGATAGATAGATAGATAGATAGATAGATAGATAGATAGATGAATAATAGAGGAGAGAAGAGGAGGCAAAATATTAACAATTGGTAAAAATTTAAGTGAAGGCTGTATGGAGAGATTCTTCGTACTTTCTTAAATCTTTTTCCAAAGTGTAAAATTATTTCAAAATAAAGTGTCTTTTTAAAAAAAGTATATCACCAGATTTGCCCAATAATAAGTCAGTGAGGAGCGTCAACTGCTTTTTATACTTAACAGCATGGTTAACTCATTGTCCTGAAAAAGCAAACTTTATGGTTTTTGGGAGAACATTCATTTGGCAAATCAGAGGACTCAGGGAGTGCTGTAGACATTCTGCTGTCTGAATTTTAAAACACTATCTTCAGGTTGTTGCAACATCTATAGGAGATCCTTAACAAGATTCCAGATCTGTCCCTCATGTTCTCTCAGTTTACGAGAGAACTGTCGAGTTTGAGAGGCTTTACGCAACTCCAGAATATTGTTGTCTACCACATAAGAGCTACACAGGCTGGAGTGCAGTGGGGACTTGACCATAACCCAATCAATCTGATCCCTGTTGATGGTCTCCCAGTCTCCATGACCGGCACCACTGTGTTTTGCTGCATACTCAGTGTGTGAAGGAGAGACCTGGAGAGACCTAGGTGCTGTAAACCGCATTATCACGATGTGTGCCAGCCCTCCTCCAAAATGTGTATGTTCTTTGTAAAAGCACGGGTGCTGAAAGACATAAAACAAACTTCAGGCTATGCCAAAGCGGCCTTGGCAACCTGCATGGAGGGTTAAACTGTTGTTGATATTTAGTTTACTGCACATGTTAATTCAGAGTGTAAGATCACGATTCCGACATTTCATACCACAAAAGGACTCCGTGTACAGGGTAAAAGCTCTAGAGAGATGGTTTCTAAAACAATATAAAACTCCCAAAGACCTATAACTATGGGAATGGGTGTTGTCTGTGCCTGGAAGTGTAGTTATATATTTGGGATAAATAATCAAATTCCAAGATGCCTCAGTAAGGAAGCTTTTGAAGAAACGTCTAATTATTTATTATGACTTAGACCCTTGTTTTAGCTCTGATTTCATTCTAGCCCCTTAAGTGAACAAAGAACCCAGGTGTCCCACAATACAGCCAACAAGTGGCTGAGGCTGGACAAGTTTGAAAAGTGTGGATTCCAAAAGTGGATGTCTCCAGGAGATTCCAAGAATCTCTGGTGAACTGGCCACCAAGCAGCCTTCAATATTTTTTGATCAACTAATCAAAATCTGGATCTCCACCTCGACACAGAACTTCATCCTGTCAGCACATAGAAAGCAGAGTCGTCACTCATAAGCAGACCTTGAACAATTATCATAATACTTTAAGAAAGGGATTGGCAGTAGTGAGAAACTGCCAGGAGAGGCAGGGTGGTATTGGCAGTTGAGGGAAACTGCCAAGGGAGGGGTTGGGGGCACACCTCATCAACAAGTATATCAACATAATGAATATTTGTATACCTAACCCTGAATTGTACTCCACATCTTTAAAATAAAAAAAAATTTTAATAAAAATAAATAAACAAAGAAAGCAGAGACATTGCTTAGGGGTAGATTTCTAGTAACATAACTCACATATTTATAGACAATCTGAAATGCAGATTACTTAAATTCATGAGAACCAGAATGGTTATGAATACATTTGTGTCAACATGCCCCAAACCTGGACATGATAACTGGAGATACAAATTCTAAGGGAAGTCCAGTTAGAGGACTCAGATGTCAGAGGTGCCAGGTCTTGACAACTCTAAACATCCATCTAAGAGATACACCTGGTTCTGGACCAAATAGGCTGGGTACTAGGGCCAAAAGACAAACTTCACTAAGCTTTGCTCAACACTGGCACTTTTTTTTCCTATGTTTGCATTCCTGGCCCTTCTCCTTCTCTCTCTTCCTGTTACTGTTTAATTGTGTCCCCTAGATTTCATGTGTTGGAAACTTAATCCTCAAGTTCATATGTTGATGGTATTTGGAGATGGAACTTTGGGAAGATAAATTAGGATTAGATGAGACCATCAGAGTGAGGAATCCACGATGGAGCTGGTGGCTTATAAAAAGAAAAAGAAAGACCTGAGCTGGAAAACTCTTGCCCTTTTGCTATCTGATGCCCCCTACCATGATATGACACAGCAAGAAGGCTCTCACCAGATGCCAGCACCATGCTTTTGTACTTCCTCAAACTTTTTAGAGAACCATGAGCTAAATAAACTTATTTTCTTAAAAAATTAACTGGTCTGCAGTATTCTATTTTAGTAACAGAAAATAAACTAAGATGCTCCTCATCACCACCACCACCAAGTCCTTCTGATGAACACATTCATTCTTTAAATGATAGTACCCAGTTATACTAAGAGTGACACAGAGTTGTGTTGTCTATCTAAGCAGATTTTGACTATTTTATTAGTGCACATTATCATCCAGTTCCAGTTCATGTTGTAGCAAATGCTTAATGGCAATGGCAAAGCAGTCAAAATGAAGAATCCTAAATTTTTATGATGTTCCCCAACCTCTTATGGTTGTCTAATTCATACCTAATTGAACAGTAAAAAAAAAAAAAAAAGTCAGCAACTTGCCTTCATACAATCTATCAAAAAGTTTTAAATAGTTTTCATTAATGTAGTTTTATCTTCCTGCTCATGTTTCATCGGTTTACATAAAAACTAATTAAATTACATACTTATAACAAGCACACTGGCATAAACAGACTTGTGGACAACTCTTGAAAAATATACAAAAATATACAGGCTCAGTGGCTCAGCCTGTAATCCCAGCGTTTTGGGATTGCCTGAGCCCACAGGTTCGAGACCTGCCTGGGCAACTTGGCAAGACCACATCTTTACAATAAATCAAAAAATTAGCCGGGTGTGGTAGCGCGCGCCTATAGTTCCAGCTACTTGGAAGGCTGGGGCAGAAGAATCGTCAGAGCCCAGCAGGTCGAGGCTGCAGTGACCAGGAGCGGCCACTGCACTCCAGTCTGAGTGACAGAGTGAGACTTCAACTCAAAAAAAAAGAAAAAGAAAAATATACAGAGAAGTATGTGGCATACTCAGGAGAACCATACTTGCTGCCAGCACCTACCAACAGGCGGTAAGATTTATAGAGGAACAGAGAGCATCAGCTCTCCTGTAACATGCCTAATGCAGGCTATTTTGTATCTCAGTATAATTGAATATATAAATATTAATGTTTTGATCAAATTGTTAAACTTCTAAAAGAAGGTATAATGGTGTGACTCTAACTTTCCGAATAGGCTTTTCTTAATCCTGAGCTATTTTCTCCTCCTTGCCAAAGAACTTGCAATATTCTATGCCATCCTCCATCATGTGGTTCCTGTGATTTCTGTAAATGTCTCCTCACTATTACAGCACATTCTTGTAATCACTTTAAGAACAGCAGAGGCTGGATGCAGTGACTCGTGCCTCTGGGAGGCCAAGGCAGAAGAATTACTTGAGCCCAAGAGTTTGAGACCAGCAACATAATGAAACCCCATCTCTACAAAAAAATCAAAAACTTAGCGAGGTGTGGTGGCAGGCTCCTGGAGTTCCAGCTACTCAGGAGGCTGAAGCAGAAGAATCACCTGAGCCCAGGAGACTGAGTCTGAGGTGAGCTATGAGTGAGCCACTGCACTCCAGCCTGAGCATCAAAATGAGACCCTGACTCAAAAATTATTTTTTTTAATGTTTAAGAGAGAAACGCAAAGGGGTGGCTACAGAAATCAATTCAGAGGACCAAAAATATTCTAGGTAGTATATCTGAGATGGGGGATATTGGTTCTCCAATCTCAGGTTTCCATTGGAAGCAATGGGTTAACATTCCTTATCTTTCAGTGAGCACTCACCTACCCTCTTCTCATCTCTCCTGCAACAAGAGGAAAACAAATGAATTGTCTGAAGGATGAGCCTACAACTGGGTATGCTGCACTCAGTCCTTTCATCCTTCCTCTTTGGGATGTATCTGCTTGCAGAGAGCACACTTCATGGGCTACTTTTGTCATACGGTAAAAGGTTGGCTCCTGGAGGGGGGAATCTGCAGCTGAATGTCACTATCTGTGATTTAGTGGAAGTCTTTGCCTAATTCTGGGAGGAAATAATAGTGAGCAGGCCCTTTTGGCAACAGATCTAAATTCATGTTCCTCAACTAGTTTCAGCAACAATAAAAAGGATATTTTCACGTTCTCCATCTGACTCCTGCA